CGAGGTTCACTGATTGGCTTCCTCGTATCACTGCAGAGAAGGGCAACAGGAGAAGAAGTTCTAGGATCCTTCAATAATTCCTTTTTCAGAAGCTTGGTTTGCTCATAGTTATGGAGAGTTCCATAAAGAGCAGTAAGAGGCATATTTTCAAGATCTTTRCTWGTCTTGATACAAGTACAGATGTTTTCCCAGAAGTCTGGTAAACAGTCCATGAACTTGCACAGGACTTCTTCATTTTCATAGAATCTGCCATGAAACTTCATATCATTGAGAAGGCTGTTAAACCTGTTGTAGTACTCAGTAAGAGATTCACCTTTCCCGTGCACAAAGAGCTCATATTGCCTAACAAGGCCAATCTTTTTGCTTTTCTTTACTTTGATGGTTCCTTCATACAGAACACATAGAATGTTCCACATGTCCTTGGCAGTAGTGAGGTTTACCAGGGAATGGAAGACATCATCAAGAAGAGAGAGGGCAATGATAGCCCTTACCTTGGTATCCAAGGAAACTTTTCTTTTATCGTCTTCATTGTACTGAGAAGGATCTTTGATGATGAACCTTCCAGTAGAATCAGATTTCTCTTCATCATCATCAGAATCATTTGAAGAGTTACCATCGTCTTTGTTCTTTCCATGACGAAGCCATACTTTAGGAACAATGGGTCCATCCTTGAGGATTGAGAGATATTGACTATCAACACCCTCAATGTAGAGTGTCATACGACTTTTCCACATAGAGAAATTGTTCTTGTTAAACTTGGAAGGCTTGGCAATAGTGCCATTGTCTTGGTAAGAAGAAATAGCAGAGTTAGAAGAAGAAGAGGCCATTGCAGATCTAGCTTATGAGATTAAGCTAACTGCTCTGATATCACTTGTTAGTCCCGAAGGGGATGGCAATAAACAGAAAGTAATTGTAGAAGGGGGGGTTGAATACAATTACACAAACTTTTTTCAACTTTTTAATTCTTATTGATTTAAATCAAGAATTAATACACACATAAATACAAAAGATTGTTGCGGAAGATAGGAAAGGAAAACCTAACCTAAACAATCTTACAAGGAGAAGAACTTTCAAGAACAACACAAARAGTTCTTGAAAGGAAATGAAKAACACTAAGAATYTCTTCGCACAYAGGAGAGCAAGGGAGAARAAGAGAATAGCCGATTGCCTTAAGAATTYACTCASTAATCTTTCAAAAAGCCAGTTGTGTGCATGGGAGATGCACACTGCCTTTTTATACTACCTTCAGCATTTAATGCATGAGGACATTTGTCACCTGAGGATAAGAAGGCAGGGGTTGACTTGACCATTGTTGATATCTCATTTTCATCGTRCACAGYGTGCATAYAATACTRTKCATGCAGAGACWAACTTTTGCAGAGATATGGTCAGYCTGTAGGAAGATCTCCTTTGGATGGATATGTAGCTTCAAGCAGCTACTCACAAATCTTCGGTCCATGAAGATTTTCAATCTTCGGTCCATGAAGATCTTCAATCTTGGGTCCATCAAGATTTTTCAATCTTCGGTCCATGATCATCAATCTTGAGTCCATGAAGATTTTCAATCTTTGGTCTATGAAGATCTTCCTTCAATCGGCTTGTAGCTTCAAAATATTTTCAATATTCATTTCAGCTACTTCGGAGTCTTGGTGTATATAATAGACAGTTGATCCACAACACCGCATCGGTGACCTTCTGTCTTCACATCGGCTAGTCTTCGATTTTGCCAATGGCTTAAGTATGTACCAAGACACCAATATACAAAGAACCAATAACTACTAAGTGTTGCTAAGGTAGAGGAACAGATCAGTGGGTCAACACCAAATCAATAGGTGACCCAACACACATTTTTAAACATATAATGAGAGTTAGATCACAAGGTCTAGTGAGTAATTCCCTTATTTGCAATTTTAGGATGAAAATCACCAAAACACTTTTGGAAAATTAATCTTTGAAAAGATAACATGCAAATAACATTTATTGTATCTAACCTCATTTTGTCGCATCCTATAGATCAGACAACCGACTTCTCGCATCACAAGAAGAATATACTCATTTCATCGCATCACATATATTTGATAATACATTTTGTCGCACAACAAGGATGCGATCACCCCCAACTTGTCGCATCCAACAGATGCGATAAACTCACTTGTCGTATCAAACACATGCGATAAACATCCCTTGCTACATCACATACATGCGATAAACATACTTGTCGCACCAAGATGATGTGATAAACTCAACTCCTTGCACCACACTGGTGCGATAACCTATTTCCTCGTATCACAAGGATGCGATAAACAAAACTCATCGCATTACAAAGATGCAATAATCACAAACTCATCGCATCACACTGATGCGATATAATCAACTCATCGCATCATATTGATGCAATAATAGTATACCATGATCAAAGATTATCATTTTTAGAAATTGGTTTTGTCACTGTTATCCCAATATACCTAGCTCTTGATTATGTCACCTTGATTACAAAAATATACTCAATTCTTGATTTTGCGATCCTTATTTACCAAATAATACACAACTCCTGATTTGCCACCCTTATTACCAAATAATACTCAACTCCTCATCATGCCACCCTTATTACGGTCAATTGATAATAACAAATCAAAATCCAAAATTATGCTAATAAATAACATATAATCATAAAATACCAAGTATGGAACCGTACGATTTCTTCACCAAAAAACAAATCAAAATGATGCTTTTTAAATAAAACTCACCTTGAAATCACACGTAGATGTAAAACTTTAATCAGCAACAAACTCCAATTAAGAGCACGAAATTAGTTCTTCTTCTTCTTCCGTTAACTTCAAACCAGAAAGCAAAATATGCACACAAACTTTCTTTCTATCTTCATCTCATCTAACCCCAAAATAATAATTACACACACACACACACACACACACACACACATATATATATATATATATATATATATACAAGGGAGCGATCAAATGAAAACCAATCAATTTGTAAAAACCGTAAAAACCTCATTATACCAATCATAATTTTTCATTTTGTTCATTTTTTTGTAATTATGAGAGGTTGATTAATCATTTTTATTGTGGAGGATGTTAATCATGGATATTATCATCTTCATTATTTTATTTTTAGAGAAATACATAAAACAGTTTCATTAAAATTTTATTAAGTAGTATATAAAACAATTTCATAACCATATATGAAACAAATTCATCAAAAAAATTATTATATGAAATAATTTCACAAGATTAAACAATTTCATAAAAAAATTTCATAGATTAAACAATTTCATAAAAAAATTTATTTGATCGCTTCTCTCTCTCTTTCTCTCTCTCTCTCTCTCTCTCTCTCTCTCTATATATATATATATATATATATATGTTTAAGATAAGAGGCGGTTGGTGAAAAGATATATTTTAAATAAATTTTTAAAACACACCCTTCAACTTTCTCCACTTAACAAATCACCCAAACATTTCAAAACAGTTAAACCGGTTATCACACAAACTCCCGATGTAAAATAAATGTAAAAGAAAGACTAAAAAGACTCAATGGGATATAACAAATGAGACTTAAAATGGATAAAAGTGGTGCAAATAGGGTCAGTAAATTAATACCTATCAGTGGTATTGGAGGTAGAGTGTGTCAGGTCCAGGTGGGGGTGGTTGGGGGCGAGGTGGTAATTATAATGAGGACAGTAGTGGCATGGTGGTCCACGAGGTGGGTGGGATGGGTGTGGCAATTGTAGTGACGACAGTCGTGGCCAGATGATATTGGTGGGACGGGGTAAGATGGTGGGTCAAGGCGAGATGGGAGGGTGGGGTGCAACCCCCTCCCCTCCACCACCCACCACCAATACCCCATGCCACTATTGTTGTCATCACAGTTGCCACACTCACCCTCCTCCAAACAAAGATGGAGATTCCAATTCTTACCAATCAAACGCGTGGTCAAATTCCGACAAATTTCATTCAAATTCCTTCAAAGTCAAATTCCTTTGATGGATTCCAATTGCACCAAATTCCATTCTGCGAACCAAGCGCCCTCTTACTAAAGATTTAATGAGCAAATAGAGGAAGAAACAAGAAAAACCAGTTATGAAAATGCAACTAATGAATCTGTGAGCATGACTGTAGGAACAAGTACAATAAACATTCGTAAAGAAGGTTGAAGTCCGATGTTTGTAATCATTTTGATTGACTATTTGTTGAGGGCGTTAGACGATTTGCAAAGTGGTAGTATTGCAACATGTAATTAATCTTAAACCCAACATGGGATGACATATTTGAAAGATCATTTTAAGACAGGTCATAGGAGAGTTTCAAATGACTTTAAGCAATATATCTTAGTACAAGAGCAAAATATTGCGAGCCCGAGAGCTTTCATGTTTAAATATTCATTTAATGTCAAAGTTTCGAGTCAAGAGTTACTTAAGATGGTCATTATTCATTATGATTCTTTTATCTTGTTGACCATTATGTTTTTAGATGTTATTTGAAATCAATGGCGGATCCAAAAACCATCATGATTGAGGGCACACTTAGGGGTGTGAAAAAACTTCGAAACCAAATAACCCATTCGAACCAAGACGGTTACAGGTTGTTAGATTCTAAGCTTAACCGGTTCGGTTAATTGAAATACGATAACTTATTCGGTTTTATTTTTTGTTACTGTTTACAATTTGGTTAAATTGAGCATATTATACTACCATTTAAATATTTTACTATTTCGGTTAAAATAAAAGTAAGCGAACATATTACACATTAATACAAAATTCGACTAATATATAATATCCAGATGACTAGGGGAACAAAACACCAACCAATGTGTAATAATACTTGTTGAACTTGGCATTAAACATTTTTGTAACAAACATAATGAAAGATGCATTAGAATGCTTAATAGTTAATAGACATAAATTAGTAGCCAGTAACAAGAAATTAGAGTGCTTCAGTTGGGAAAAATTAGATAGTAAAAGGCAAGAAAATAGTAAATAAAAGACTATTTCCGATATACATAAACCTTGCATAAACACGATAATTGAATCAACTCTCAAAACCATAGTAATGGAAAAAGCTCTTCAACAATACAAGTAAAATGACAAACACCACAAGAAAATTATACAACCATTTCACACCAACAAGAACTCAAAATCCTTAATAAGATAACAGCTTAGGTGGCAGCGACCGTGGTGGCTGCCGTGGCAGTCTGGTCTGTCGGTGCAGCTGAAACTTCAACGGGTCCATTGGCGGCAACAGACACAGTTTCACCTGCTGTTGCTGCATCCTTTACATCTTTAGAAACTTTTTTATCATCCTTGGCGGCAGGCGGTGGAGGAACCATGTGTGCTGGTGGTGTTTGCTTCAGCTTGACCAGAATCTGTCGTAGCCTTGAGAGATCAGTTGGTTTTCCGGGCTTCGGTCCCTGAATGAATGTAATCGATGGTTTCTTGTCTTTATCCTTCTTGCCTCGCTTCTCGATATTGGGGACCTCACGAGGAACGAGCTCTGCAATTGCTTTCCAGTACTGCTTATTGGCTTCTTTGTGGAACGTCTCTTGCTTTGCTACATATAACTGTTTCAAGCCAATGTCAAACAACACTATTGATAGTTTGTACAATACGAGTGAGAACTTTACCAAACTGGGCCCGTAGGAGGTATCCGCGGAAAGATGTATGCCAACCTGACTTCTATCAGAAACAGTAGAGCGGTTGTTTCTATGAATACCTCTAAGTAGTGAAAAGTGTGTGAGAGGAGAAATACATATATGCAAAAATTTGAAAAGCTGGATATGAATAAACAATAGCAAATACGGACGGAAAGAGAGATGTCTCAGTAAAGACTTTCCAAGGCATAAAACCCATATTTTAGTTTAAATTTTAATGATTTCCTTGACAAAAAAATAACATTACCATCGATGATATGGTTTCCTCGACAAAAATAACCTTACCATCATTGTCCATTCAAAATTTGACCAAACTGTAGTATTAATGCGCTCCTAATGCTGAGTTGTGTCTAGTCGACATTTCTATTGAATTCGGAATGACAATGATAGTAACGGTTCATTTGTAAGGAAACCAACTCAGAAATTACTAAATCACTGAAAATTAAACACAAAAGATACATGCGTAGTGCCAGGTGTATGTCCAGTTGAGAATATTGGAGTCCCACATCGGCTAGACTTGGACAATTTATCCTCAATATATGCCGGAACATCCTCATCTCCTTAAGGGCTCTTATTAGAGAGTAATCTAATGAGGTTCCACATATTCTACAAACAATTTCTTGAATTTCGGATGGATAACGAAGGTAATTTGTGAAGAAACCTAAACCATAATCGCAAAAATGTTGGAAGTTCTAAAATGACGAGACAATCAGAAAACATGTGCAACCAAAATATAGGTTATGCTGAACTTCTAATGATGGTAGCTTTTTCCCTTTTGGCTAGAGAAAGAAATTACCTTCTCTCCTTCTCTGTTTGTGATCTTGTTAGTCTCAACGTTATGGAGTCTTTTCTCATGGAAAGCCCGTTTGTATACTTCACCTTCTTCAATGATCTGACTTCTTAATTCCTTCTCCTGGTTTTCCTTCTCCTCTAAGCGAATTGCATTGAGTCTGCACACGAAAGGCAAAATTGCATGTGAAATCATATTTCTTGCCTAGCTGCCACCTGGTTATACCCAACAAGTTCAAGGCTAGCATTTACAGTTTTCTAACCTTTGATTTGTATGATGGGAAAAGGAAGATGTAACAGGTCCCATATAAAATGAGCAAGGAGAAATGAATATGGGACCCACAAAATGTAGATACAAAAAGGCACAAATGGATGACATCTTAACATTCAAAGACCTAACATCTACAACCCAAGCCTTCTTATGACCATGGTACTACCTCTGCTATGTATGTGCATTTCATAGTTAATAATTAACACACCATGTTTCATTGTTTACCTAACGTGATAAGACAAGAAAGTCATCAAAGCAAGTCACCTACAGCTGACATTGGCCTTAATGCATTCTTAAGAGCGTTAAATTCCTTTTGGGGCCCATCTGCTGGCCGGAAAGCCTAAAGTTTTCCTAGAACATGTGGAGGACGTTTTTCATAGACCTGGTGGACTAGTTGGACCAAAATGCCAGATATATACGGTATACAAAAGAAAAAAAAGGAGAGCTAAACTGGATGAATTGATGTATTCTTTCAGAAAATGGATAGATGTGGAGCAAGCAATGTAACTATGAATATGGGAACAATCACCTGATTACCAATTACAGATTCATGGTTATGGGAGAGCTTTAGGGGGAGGGGGTTGGTTTGCAGATTCCAACGGTATCAGATCGAATTGGAATGGTCAATTCTGTTGACCAGGTTGGCAGCAGCATGGCTGATTTTCCTATATCTAACCATTTTATTAGCCTTTAATTGCTTCCAACAATGGAATGTTTGATCTTATATAAAACTTTTAAAAGCCATGTAAAAAGAAGGTTTCACCATGAGGAATCACAAAAAACTTTGTACACACCAATAGATTGTTAATTTGTCATGGAAAAATCTATGCACAGCATAATTCAAAAATATATTGGAGAGCAAGGACAACTAAGGGGCCGTTATCAAACACTTACCTGGTAAGTGCTTACCGGTAAAATTTAACACTATTATGTACTTACCGGGTAAGATTTTAGTCCACCAAAACGACATAGTATACACCAATTTACCTGGTAAGCGCTTACCGTGGTAAGAGTCGTCGCCCTCACTTACCGGGTAAGACTCTTGGTCCTTGTCTCGCTCTTACCAGGTAAGATTCTTGGTCCTTACTATATTCATCCGGTGAAGTAATGTTACTTGGTAAGCGCTTACTCGGGTAAGCGTTTGGTAAACGGCCCCTAATACATCACATTGTAATAGAAAACAGGGACCTTCTATAATTGCTTGGGAAATTCTTGTCTGTTCTCATAGTATTGTTGTATACCGTTGGTACAATTTCACCTTCTCAATTTCATTTATCAACCACTAGGCCTTCACATGTTTGCTCGGTATAACATCTTATGCGCCATGGCATTACAAGACACTTCCAAGTACAACTCAATTGAGACTCAACTACCAATACCACCAATCACTTATCCACAAATAGTATACCCCCTGATATAATATTTACTTGTAAGTATGGGCATCTCCATTTATAACTTATACCATAATAATATAATTCCAACGCTTCTATTCCTCTTTGACTACTCTTCAGCTTGACATAATTCTATAAGTTGCCTTCTACTGCTTCCATAAGTATTCTATACTTTACCATTTCATGAGACTTCATTCCCGGCTTTTCTTTCAACCACATAAGATTGGGGTTATAGTTTCTTAGGAGCAGATAACGGGGATAGAAAACCTTTACCACAAGTGGCTCGCTGTAGAGGCTAAGGTTGTCTGCTTTGCATCTGGGTGCACTATAATAATGTTTGTATATTGACTGAATCGGTTAGACCAAGACCCAGATACTAAAATGAACAGATTGGCATCCAAAAGCTTGAAAGTGCCGAATATATCATCTAAACCGCTAGAAAAAGACCATATGGTTAAATTATCAAACCTGGTCCTCAAAACAAACAACACATACTCTAAGAAAAAACATCAAACCATATAACCAACGTTTGGTCATGCAAGTTGGCCTGCTTCACAGTTAGAGCCAAAGAACTTCAAGTTTGGTTGGTCAAAGGGTCCAAAATTAAGTTGCATACCCGAATTAAATATGATCTTAACCATAGTTTTCTCTTCTTGTATTCTAATATGCACCTCTCTTTCTGATGTTTAGTTTAGTCAAAACTTAGTAGATTAATTCAGTCTTAAGGAAGTCAATTTGAGCTTTTAATCATAAATTAATAAAACCATTCCATTTCCGGCACACTTCTATGGTATTTAAACAAATCAAGAAAACTGAAGTTTGCAACACTATCAAACAAATAGATGAATGATAGCAACATGTAAAGCTTTTTAAATATTTCCATGAAAGAGTCAAGATTTTAGCTAGCTATGCTACTATATAATCACCGACCAGACTGGTCCTAAGAACAATTTGGATTTATAATACAGAATATAACAGTTTGGCTAGAGCCAAAACTAATATCTCGGAGTGAAGAAAATATCGGATCTTAATGTGTATATATCATCATTGACATCTTAGTTATAGTAGCATAGCTCCCTATAATTTCTTTTTCAAACCAACAGAAGGTAATGTTAAATTAAATGAATCAATTGGCTAAAAATAAAAATATAAAAACTAAAAAGTAACTGGCTGTAAGAGCACACAGCATACAAATTGAAGATCCTGTACTGCACTTACATGGGAGAAACAGATACAAATAAACTAAGATCTAGTTTGCAAATCATAGTTTTAATCTTGTTTAATTTTTTGTCAAAGAATTTTGTGATTCACAGTAAACCTCCAAAATGATTGTTTATCATCCAGAAGGCACCATATATCTACAGTTCCTTATAATTCATATCAAAACCCAATACTAACAACAACTCTGGTACCAAAATAGCCCAGTTAAAATGAAATACAAAGTAAAATTCAATAGAGCTGAAAGATCTTCAAGAAATTCAAGAGAACACAATTACAAGTAAAGGCTGCTGACTGTTATAATTAGAAAATGTAATCTTCATACTGACTGTTATTATCAGAAAAGGCAATCTTTGTAAGTAAAATTCTTTTGCCAAAGGATCGTTGAAAGCTTTTGTATATCGCATAACGCAGTAGCTACAAGAGTACGGCTCTTCTCACATGCTTATGATGGATCCGTTAGAAATATTACTTCATGCATGAATACACTACAAGATCTAAAGAAAGTATTCAGAGATCAACAAGCAAATGGACAGGATCAAGTGAACGGTAAATCTCACCGCCGCCATTCACGAAGAGCAAAGCCCTCGTCCCGTTTCATCTCACTTGGAGGCGGAAGCACGGGTCCATCAGAGGTGAAAATCCCGTCTGCATCCACTCCAACATTGTAATCCTGACTGCCGTTACCATTCGAAATCGGGATAGAGGAAGCATCAAAGGGAGAAGATCCAGACTGAGAGTGAGGGTTCGGATCGGGATCACCGAACCCGAATGGATCTGTGTTGCCTATGGATTGATGAGAAACTTGTTCTCCATGGTACGACGGAGTATCAGCTGTTGAGAAGTTGGAGTAGGAATTGTTGCTGTCGAAGTAACCTTCGTCGAATTGGCCGGGAGATGGAATGGTGGTTGATTCTTCGCCATTAACGCTGAAAGTGTCGAACGACATCGCTCTCTCTTCTCTCTGTAGATTCTCTCCAGGGATTACCCGTCTCTTATATTCAACCCTTCATGTGGAATTCCAATTTCTAACGTTAGATTTTAAAGTTTTATATAATCTAGGTGTTAGTGGTCCGGTTTGCTAAGGTTGAGACCAAGCCATAGATCGTATATGGACCGTACCATAAAAAAACTTCCAGACCGTAGGTGCGGTTTATCGATTTGTACCTATTGCATTTTATGTCTACAATCTAATAATTATAAGTTTAGAAATATATTGTAAAATTAACGATAAAATGATTGTGGTTCTTAAAAAATAAAAAGTTTCCATGCATCCAATTCCTAAATGTATATTGTATAAATTAAAAATAGTCTAAAAAGTAAAAAATTAAATTTCAAACTAAATTAGACATGTGAGTTGTGACGTGTCCAACTAATTCATTAATATTGTCAATTGTCATATTTGATCAAACTCAAAGTTCAAAACACATGGTCCAAAAATATTACATAAATAATAAATTGTTTTACATACACACAAAATATGCATCCAGTGCGATTTGAACCGTGTTTTGATAGCTCAAATCCGCAAACCACACTGCATAGTGCGATTTGGTACAAACGCAAACCTCAAACCGCACTGTGAAAATTCTAAACCGCGTTTTGTGGTGCAATGTAGGCGGCTTGTGCGGTTTGGGTGAACACCCCTCATGTATACTCCTTTAAAAAAACATGAGTTTCAGTTTTCTTGAAAAATTAAGAGACTTTTTTGCGTGTTGTACAAGTTTTAAAGCTCAATTCCACCTTTTCCTCTAACCACCCTCTCCACGTTCCTCTAAAACTATACTCATCTCTCTCCAAAACCATCTTAATTTATCTCCTTCGCTTCCAACAACTCCTCTATCTCTATTCCCTGAAGTGTCTTCTCCCTTCTTCCATCTCAATTGACTTTTCTAATCTCAGTTATCCGCTTCATGCTGTTTGGGAAAAGCTGCAGAAACTGGAAAGTTCTCAAGAAACCAGAAGCACCTTTGTACATACAAAGGAATGTTTGATGATGTTTATGTTATGGAGGTTGTTGGTTCATACTCCAGGTGCCTGTTGTACTCAAGATTTTAACATAATCTTGTAGCAACGAACCAAGCAAGCATTGTGGGTCCTGCAAAACCCTAAAAGAGATGGTAATTTCACAATTGATAATATACCCGTCTTCCACATACATACATACAAGATCTTACTTGTAAATTACAATTAATTTGTATGTTTGTTCAACCAACAAGTCTTTGACATTTCTAGGTCTGCAAATATCCTCTCTCGTAGCCACAGAGATTTGAGGGAGGTGAACGAACTGCTTGTTTGATCTTTGCATTTGTTGGTTGTATTATATGGTTGATTACCGGTTTAACTTTGGTTTGGGTGAAGATTAAACTTAAAATATCATGTAAAGATTTGGACTTTAGCTTTTAGTGACAGATGATTGATGGTTTATCGATTTCTATATTATCCTCCAATGTGTGGTATGTATATTTACCTGAGGAAGAATATTATTGATTCTTAGATATAATAGGAAAAGGTTTGGTTTTCTTTCCTTCCACATTATGTGTAAAGATAGTGTTGTAACCTAGGATTAGCTTTGTTTAAAAACTATTTCCTCACATATGCCATTCTAATTGATAGATAAAAGTTTTAAAATTCCCAACTTTCGAAATTCTGGCTAGCTTTTCGTGAAAGGTCGTTGTCGTTTTATACAAGTTGATGATTCAATATTCTGGAAATGTGATAAAAAAAACCACTGCCAAAACGTGGCATCTTTATATATATATATATATATATATATATATATATATATATATATAAAGTAAAACTCACAAAGAATGTGGTGACATCCTAAGAAATGAGTATTCTTCATTTCTTGAATTGTGGTTGAGTTTGTGTATCCCATATTGACGGAGATATGAAATATTCACAATGAATGGTGGGTATTATAAAGGGAGATTTGAGCTGCTTTTGTGGTAACTTATGAGGTTGGCTCCTTTTGGTCAATCATCTAAACTCATATTGTTGGTTCGTTTTAACTGACCTTTCGAACTCACGGGTTTGCTCATTTGGGCCAACCTCATTTTAGCAAAAAGAAATCAATCATACAAAATTAAAAAAAATCATTTATCTTTATGTATATTAAAATAAACCCCACAAAAAATGAAGTGAGATTAATCTTTACATTATATTATATATATATATATATATATATATTAAAGTAAAACCCACAAAGAATGAGGTGACATCCTAAGAAGTGAGTATTTTTTATTTTTTGAATAGTGGTTGAGTTTATGTATCCCACATAGATGGAGATATGAAGTATTTCAATGAATGGTGGTATTTTAAAGGGAGATTTGAGATGCTTTTGTGGTAACTCATGGGGTTGGCTTCTTTGGTTAATCTTCTAAACTCACGTTGTTGGCTCATTTTGGTCGACCTTCTGAACTCATGGATTTGCTCATTTTGGCCAACCTAATTATAGCAAAAAAATGATCATAGAAAATAAAATAAAAAATCTTTATTTTTATGTATATTAAAATAAACCCCACAAAGAATGAAGTGATATTAAATGCAGAACAAAGTGGTATTGAGTTGATATTGTGAGAATGGAGTATTCTCAAATAGTGAACTATTGTTGAGCTTTAGATATCTTACTTGGTGAGAAGTTGAAATAATAAAACAAAGAGATATGTATAAAAATGAAGGATGTGATGACAATTGTGTTAACTAATGGGGTTTGACTCATAGGGTTGTCTTATGTTATTGCCTTTTTTTTGCAAAATAACGTTTTTTATATAAAACAAATCTTATTAAAACAAGAACCAAGTACTATAAGGTGATATTACAAGACTTGAGTATCCTCAAAATTTGAAATGTGGTGTATTTTGATTATTCCATGTTGGTAGGAAAATGGTAAATTGGAAAAGAAATATGTCTTTTTTTTATAGAGAGGGGGGTGACCCCTCCAGATCAAGAAAAAACACTTAAACGCTAAAAAGCAAGACAAAATACGCGCTCGGGTGGGGGCGAACCACATCCACCAGAAATAACCAAGGCACCCCGAGAGAAAAAAGGAGGAGGAAGAAAGCGAAGAAGAAAGAAGAGAGGAAGAGAAAGAGAGAAAAGAAAAACAGAGAAAAGGGAAGAGACGAAGAGAGAGAAGAAGAGGGGGAGAAAGAGAAAGAAAGAGAAACCGACCACAAGGGAAGGGCCCAGTCAAGCCAAGACCGGGAAAAACAACGGGGGACACCACAGGGGCAGGAGAAGGGGCCTAAAAAAGGCACACCCTAGACCGCACCAAGAAAACCAGGAGAGCAGAGGAGCTCACACAAAACAGACAAACAGCACAAAAGAAACGGACGGCTAAGGAAGGTTCCAAGCGAGCCGAGCCTGGTCAACATTTAGGAAGGGCTTGAAAGTCAGGCTAAGAAGCCTGGAACGGACATCATCAGTAATTGTCTTACCCACCGCAATATGCGATCTTCTTTTGCTTTTGAAGATGCGGTTATTTCTTTCTTGCCATAAGTGGTAGACGGTCGCAGCAAGCACTAAGCGACGAATGATAGACCATAAGGTCTTTCCTTTGGTGACTTGTTGAAACATACCGATAATATCAGCCCAGATATCCGGGACACCATTGAGGTTCAGCTTGGCTTTTAAGCCATTCGAGACCAGATTAAGGAACGGGCACTCAAAGAAAAGATGCGAATGCGAATCAGGCCCGTTCTGACAGAACGCATAGGACAGGTCGGAATGGGCCTCCCAGAACCGGAGTTTATCATGCGTCTTGAGACGCTGCTTGAGAGCAACCCACAGAATGAAGGCATGTATGGGGATGCTTTGAGAGAACCAGACTAAATGATGCCAGGAGACATCAGGCTCATTGGGACGAAGGGAGAGCCACACCTCACGAACAGAGAAAGGAGTGAGACGTCCATCCCTAGTTCTCCAGAGGAGCTTATCAGGGGTGGACGGGGAAAAAACAGGGAGGGGAGATACGCGGATGGAAGGGTTGGAATTATCCCTCAGGAGAAGAGACGTCCAATTGCCCTGGAAAACAATATCTCTGACAGAAGCAGAGAGAGAAATATTAGAGTTGAGAATACTGCAGGAAGAGATATGCCGGTAGAGGGGGCCAGCCGGATGCCAGTTATCATAGCAGGCAGACGTGGAAGCGCCATCACCAATCTGGGAGACAATAAAGTCTCTTATCTTTTCCCTCATACACAGGATCTTCCTCCAGCCCCAACCCACATCACTGCGTATCGGGACATCCCAGAAGTTACAATCTTTCAACCTGTAGGAGTGGATCCATTTAACCCAAAGCGAATCCCTATTGGTAAAGAGACGCCAAGAGTGGGAGGCCATGTGGGCAAGATTCCAGCTGGCAAGGCTCTTTATGCCCAGCCCGCCTTGAGATTTGGGGAGGCAGACAGTCTTCCAGGAGACTTTTGCCTTCCCCCTTTTTAGCTCACCGTGGCACCACAGAAAGCCCCGCATGAGCTTCTCAATCTCTTTGGAAATGGAAATCGGAAGCACAAAAATAGAGGCCCAATAGATCTGCATCGAGGACAGGACCGAGAGAATGAGCTGCAGTCTACCGGCAAACGAGAGAGACTTATTCTTCCAGTCATTAAGCCTGGAGTTGACCTTGTCAACAAGTCCCTTACAATCCCTATGATAGAGGCGGGTGGTAATGAGAGGGACACCGAGATAGCGCACCGGGAGGGAACCTTCCAGAAACTGAGTGATAGCTTGAATGGACTCCTTGGTGTGCTGGCCAACATTACAATAGAAGGCCTCGCATTTGGCCGGACTCGGAAAGAGGCCAGACACACTCGAAAATTCATCAAGGGAATCCTTTATGACCCGGGCAGAGTCACTATCACCATGAGGAGATCGTCAGCAAAGCAAAGATGGGTGATCTTCTGCTCCTCACAATTCCGGTGATAGGAAAAAGTACCCGTCTCACGAATTTTTCTTTTGGTCAGGAGGTTGAGGACCTCCATGACCAGGGTGAAGAGATAAGGGGAAAGA